CCGAGGTGTTCACACAACTGTAAACAGGGCAGATTTATGTCCAGTTGTTTTGGGGGTGTTTAGCAGCTGCCTGCAAATTACCCCTGAGTGAGTTAGATGTCAATTGATATGTTTATCTGGGGATGTACCTTTGGAACCACCTGTAACATCTATCCAAAGAGGAAACAAGATGCACAGATAAGAGGAGGAGATGACCTTTAATGATTAGTACAGTCTTGCTGAAATGCAGTCCTGTACAGTGTACATAAGACTGCAGCTCAAAATGTCAGATTATGTGCAGTTGTCCACAACTGAACTTGATTTATAAGTGTACGATTTGCTCAATTCTACTCAATTCATGGTGCCTTTTTTCCATGGATGTGTATCATACAGGAGAGCAAAGTTATTCTAATGGTTTGAAAATGTATTGCCTTTGATAAAACAGCAAAAAAGTCCATTAAGTATGTGGACTAAAGTGGAACTACTCTTTTTTTTTCAAATTTAGCGTCAATTTTATTTTCTTCTTTGAATGGCCAATGTACATTCCCATGACTTGCCTCAGCCAGACTCTTACTGATAGTCAGTACTTACCCAGCGTGTGCACTATACTGTCTTTTTCCAGCAGGAACAGTCTTTTTTTCAGCAGGAACAATGTACGAAAAGACAAAGCCTTTAGTATTGACAGAGCAGGTTCCACAGCAGGACCAGCTGTCCCCCTTGGCAGTAGAAACACCTACACAACAAGACTCAATAGGAGTTGACCCATCAGTACTGAATGGCTGAGGCCTTGTTTTGTCCCAGGGTTTTTATTGTGGGACCAGGTGTGTAGGACGGAATATTGGCCTTGTTGCCTTGGAGACTGTGAATGTGATGGTCGGCAGCTGACTTAAGTATGACTTTTTTGAAGTAGCCTGGTAATGTTGCTAGTCTTGTACATCTTAGATCTGCTTTAAATATTGGGTCCGAAGGAGACAGAGAGATTCTGAAAATTTCATTATTTGTCAGTGACTTACAATCAGACACCAATACACATCAGAAGAGTGTTGCGCTTCACTTCAGCCTGTGCTTTAGCCTCTACCAGGCTCTGCTCATCGCTGGAAAAATAGTAGAAATTGGCCGAAATAAAGGGATAGTATACCTGTGGGTCGCAAATTGGAGCTTCTATGGCTGGCTGGATCTTCTCTGGTATACTATCCCTTTATTTCGGCCAATTTCTACTATTTTTCCAGCAATCCGCGGAGCCTGGTAGAGGCTAATTATGTTACAAAGCTGCCGATTGGTTGTGACTCAGTCTGTGCCAAAGTTGAAGACCAATGAGGGTTTCTGTTGCTTAAATAGGGTTTTATTGAAGGTTTTATCTTCATTGATATGTTACGAAGCTTCCCATTCGTTGTGACTCAGTCTGTGCCGAAGTTGAAGACCAATGAGGGTTTGCGTTGCTGGAACCAGTGTGCTAAGAGCTCCCCCTGTCCATCTAACATGCGCTCCAGGACGAAGAACAAGGCCTCCTGCATGGACGGTCTGCTCACGATATCCGCAGGGAGGGACAGCACCAGAAGGCACAGCTTCTCCTGAGAATGAACAGTTGTTTGGTTACGGGAGAATGTGTAACTTCCCATTTATGCAAATTAAGTCAATGCAAATTGTCTTCCCATTTATGCAAATTACATCAATGCAAATTGTCTTCCCATTTATGCAAATTATGTCAATGCAACATTTTTTTCCTATTGTCCCAGCACTGTATCGAAAATAAATTTCAATTGTCCTGAAGTGAGGATGAACTGTCCCAACCTGTTTTTCAGGAAGTGAACTTCAAGTCAGCTTCATTTTACTTAATCAGTTCAAAGCATCAAAACACCTTCCATTGCTACATTAAAATACTACCTTGAGTATTAAAATCAAAATGTAACCTGAAGATACCAGAAAAAACATCTTACCATTGCGTTTGGAATATTTGTGGCATCGTCCAAGGAAAACATGGCTAGTCTTGTCAGCACTGTGTTGAATTCCTCGTCAAACTGGACTGACACATCCTCACACTCTGTCTTCAGACTAGCATACCTGGAACACACATGGCAATGGTGTAGTATGAGAGGTGGGTGGATACTCTGCAGTTCTATCAGCTATTGCCAGGGGGTGTTCTTTGAGTCTTTTTGGTCTTCCCCTTTCTGTCAATAGTCCGTTACAGTAGTGATACTAGTAGCTGGATACTGTTCATGGTCATAGTTCGCAGAAGGAAAACGTGTTTTTTTGCTCTATTTCTTCTTCTCCAAACACATAAGGTCAATGACCTGGACCAGACGTCTGTCACCATGGTAACTGGTGCAGTGGCAGACACCCTGTGGTGTTGGGTTACTTTATGTTGCAAGTTACAGATTTGGAGGGATTGGTCACCATATAAAGTTAAATAAATGAGTTTAGGAGGAATAAACAGCAGTAGTTTGTTAGGTAAGGCAAGTTGAATGTAAACATTGTGAATTTGTTTCGCAAATGTTACCTTTCTACTTAAGTTTTTTTATGTTTACAGAGGAAAACATTGTTTTTGCTTAGTTTCCTCTTCTCCAAACAATAAAGGTCAATGACCTGGAACAGACGTCAGTCACCAAGGTAACTAGTGTTGGGTTACATCATGTTGCAATTTTATAGCAGGAGGGATTTACACTCCTGTCTGACCATATATATGAATGTGTGTAAGAGTTAACTGAGCAGACCATATGCGATGCTAAACATTATGCATTTGCTTTGCAAATGTTACCTTTCTAGTTTTCTTTTTAACAAAAATGTTACTAAAATTCTTCTGAACGTACCATTTGGATGGTAACACGTCTGTGTCACTAGAGCGGGCCAGTGCGACCCCTTTCCACCGCATCTCCTCCAGGTTCTCCCGGAACAGCGGACCAAGCCGCAGGCACAGGAACTTGTTGGCAAACACCTCACATTTATACTTGTTCAACCTGGTACGAGAAACGTACAGTTTTGTTTTGTTCTTTGTATCGTGAGTTCGAATCAAATTAGTTCGATTTTTCTTAAAGATGAAAGATAGTCAAATTGTAAAAATGTGGGGTCTTGTGGCGTAGCGGCAGAGTGCTCGACTCGGAACCAAGACCAAGAGATCTTGTGCCCCTGGGAAAGCCACTTAACACGACTTTCCTCACTCCGCTCAGGTGAAAATTAGTATTGTATTGTCCCCTGTGTTGGTGGTGGCATTAATATAAGTTGAAAAAACTTTAGTGTGCCACCACCACGTCTTGTGATTATATGTTAGAATATATATTTAAAAAAAGAACTGTAAAAATCTACTTAAAGAAACAGACCTGTCCAGATCCTCAGCCAAAGCTATCCCAAGTTTGTTCTTGACCTTCATGAAATCTTTCTTGATGGCCGTCATGACACAGTCGGGTTTCCCGTGGTTATATGCGGCTATGTTGGTCTTGATGGTCTTCTCTAGAGTTCCCACAGTCATCCAGGGTGGGAGTTTCTCCGCCAGCCCGCAGTGGGACTTGTCCTTGTCTTGTTCTCCGATGTGACCGGGTACGTGGGTGGTTCGTCTGAAATGATGTGTGAACGTTTGTTTTCCTTGTTCAGGCCTAGATTTGGTTTATAATCTTTTACCTGTAGCCCCCGAATAGTGCAGGGAATCCATTGTGTACCTACTACTACTCAGTGAAGGAATTTTTAGAAAATACACTTATTAATATTTGCAGCCACAACACGCACAGAACACGCACACGACACACACACATACGATGAAACAAATTTGAGCTGCAATTTCCAACAAAAAATTGGACGTACCCAAATATTCGACTGTACAACTCCAGTCTTTTTCAAGGAATGAACAATCCACCGCTTCCGTGACGTCACACAGATAACACACTTGACACCGTGAGCAGTGGATCATAGGTTGCAGAAAGTCTGTGGCGCCCCCCGGCTCTGTTGAGGGATGGTTGTAATGCCCTGATGTAGGTGGCCTCTTTAACCCCTCATGCAAAAATGTTCTCATTCCTTGACAAAAGACTGGAGTTGTACAGTCGAAAACTTGGATAAGTTCAATTTCTTGTGTTGGAAATTGCAGTTAATTCAAACTTGTTTCATAATGACTTCTACCAACACAGATGAACTTCCAATATAACACACACACACGAATATTCTGTCAACTCGTTACCTCACAATACTTACCTGCTGCGTGCATGATGAGCGCCACCTGGCGTCCCAACAGGAGATTGCAGATTTTCCGAATTTTCATGGATGGTCGTGACGACCGAGAAGAGGTTTGGCATGATGACCGGTTTCTGACCCCCGGGATCGACGGTCAGGAGGTCCTCCCACGTCTCCAGTCTCTCGTGGCGCCGCTGGCAGGTGCTGGACGCTCGGGCCATGCGGGCGGTGTGTCTCCCGTGCCCGTGTCCGTGCCCGTGTCCGTGTCCATGTCCATGCCCGTGCCCGTGCCCGTGGTGGGAGATGCGGCGGCGGCGCAGCGAATGAAACTGTCGGGAAGTGAAACACGTTAAGCGTCAGCATCGTCGTACCAAGTGCATAATGTTAACCTTCGTATATGGTCTGCTCTGTTAATTCTCAATCAAACGCATTCACATATATGGTCAGACAGGAGTCTAAATCCCTCCTGCTATAAAATTGCAACATGATGTAACCCAACACCGGTTACCATGGTGACAAACGTCTGGTTCAGGTCATTGACCGTATTGCTTTGGAGATGGAGAAGAAGAAGAAGAGGAAACAGATACGAAGGCCCACAACGACACTCCATACACCTCTTCCGTGACCCTGCCATTCCGCAATGCCAAGGGCCGCGGAAGAGGTGTATGGAAGTGTCGTTGTGGCCCTTTGTAAACACAGCAAAAACAATGTTTTCCTTCGGTAAACATAAAAAAAACAAGGACTTCAAGACTTGAAGGACCTTCCCACTACCCACCTGTCCGTCTAACGTTACTGTCTCCGCGGACTCGGACCGTTCTGAAGGGGAGTAGTGGCCGTGCAGCATGCCCGGCGTGGTGACGTGGCGCAGCGGCAACATAGGCCGACCGTGCCCGTCTGTCGGCACCTCTTTCTTCAACAGGACTTTAACGGCCTCATGTGACAGCGGTGTCTTGGATTTTGCAAGAGAGGAAATGAAGTAAAGACAAAATAAGTTGTGTTTAATTGTTGGTTGTCAACAGAAGTAATATCAAGTCACTTCTGACCTACTACATGACTTCACGTAACTGTAAGGTCACGTGATAGAAGTAACTGGTCAACGGTCCACAGAATGCAGCTTCACCCGAAAAAGTGCAAGGTTATGTACCTACACTTTTCGAGAACTGTACCACCACTACCACCACTCAAAATAGACGACCACCCCCTACAGGAAGTGAAAGTGGCGAAGTTACTGGGCTTGCACCTGCAAGCAGACCTCAGATGGGACGTTCATGTGGAACACATGGTGAAGAAAGGCGGCACGAGGCTGTTCCTACTTAGAAAACTGAAGACTTTCCGATTATCTATAGAGGACTTACTCACAATCTACACAAGCTACGTCCGACCAGTGTGTGAGTACGCAGTACCAGCGTGGCATCCAGGCCTTACACAAGCACAACGTAACCAGCTGGAGAGAATCCAACGCCGTGCCGTCAGAACTATCCTTGGCAAAAACTACACAAACTATGCTGACGCCTGTCTCCTACTTGGCCTCGAGACTTTGGAACGACGGCGAGACCACCTCTGCTTGACTTTTGCCAAAAAACTCTTACAATCTCCCGACTACCGGCATTGGTTCCCTCCCCGCCGTGGGGACATCAGTGGACGTACAACACGGTCCAGTAACCAGATTGACTGTTTTAGAACAAGAACCAATCGCTTTAGAAACAGCGCACTACCATACATGGTTAAGTTACTGAATAACTCTGAAACGGCAATGTAAGAGTAATCTGTTGCTAATGTTGTACAACAGCCTTTTTTTTTTACTGCGTAACGTTTAACATGTATATTGACTATAAATCCATTTTCTAAAGCAGAGGAATATTTTACGATTTATGAATTTTAACAATATTTAATAATATGTAATACTTTTTTAACAATAATACCCATATTTTAATGACATTTTGTGACCTCGGAGCAATTCAGGCAGCCAGTATGGCTGCCTGCGAGTCTGTTGTCAATGTGATGGTAATTGAAATTGTGTATGTTTGGAGTTTTCAATTTGAAATAAACCATTCTATCTATCTATAACGGGTCAGTGTCCCTGAAGAAGGCCGAAGCGTCAGTATTTATTTTTATTTATTTTAGCTTTATTATACATACGTAAACGGCCAAGGGAAACAGGAATTTCCTTTTCTTGCTCCCTGACCAAATGAAGATGAAATAATAAGTGTGCATAACAAGAAATAATAATCAATACCAACAGCATAAAATAATAACTAGAAGAGTAACATTTGCAAAGCAATTTCATAATGTTTGCCTTCTTACTCGAACACACTCATGTGGTGAAAGGAGTCTAAATCCTTGCTGCTATGAAATTGCAACATAATGTAACCCAACACTCGTTACCATGGTGACAGACGTCTGGTTCAGGTCATTGACCTTATTGGTCACGAAGAAGAAGAGGAAACAGAGCAAAAACAAGATGTTTTCCTTCGGTAAACACAAACAATAATTTGAGTGGGTAGAAACCTTTTTCTTAAGGACCATTTTAGGATTTTTAACTAACCTTTGATCTAAGGTCCTTACTCCTGAGATTGTACAGACACTTGATGACCAGGAGAATGTCCCGGAGTTTCGCCAGCAGTGCTTTCCGGTTCCGTTCTGCCCGCAGTAGCTCCACGGAGCTGTCGTGGTGGGTCGGCTCCGGCAGACCGGACAACATCTCTGCGGTTGCCGGGACATCCGCGGGGTCGTCCGTGGATAGTCTCCTCTTGCTGGGGTCTAACATCAGGGACCCCTTACGTGCGCGCATCGCCTGCATGGTCTGTACCGTTTCTTTGAAGGGTTTTCCGGCAGCCACTGCCCGCATGAGGTTCTGGCTTTCCCGTATCTCCTCCCGGACCTAACGGGGAGAGTGTCAGTAGTGTAACAGTTAGGTTGTTCAACAGGGAGGGGGGCTACGGGGAGAACTCTCAGGCACTTGTACGAGTACTTGCCACTTCCAGCACCAAGGACAGGCGTCACTTCAACAACACTGAAACAACATGAGCTTTTCTAGTGTCACTGACGAAAGGTAGCGGATGCTACCTGAAACGTCTGACCGTTTCCAATATCATATCCAGTTGCTTGAGTAACTGTTCTTTTAGTGTAACAGTTAGCCTGGATGCCAGAACCAATACTCCGTTCGGCTGGGGGAAGCCACAAGCCCAGGGTCAGCACCTGGGGCCGTATAATTCCTATCTCGGGCAGAGTCTATCTGAGCCCCTAAAGTTTTCGGAGCAGAGGAGCTAGCCTGTATGTTACCCCTGGCAGTAGTCTGGCACCCAGGCTATGTAACAGAACGATACACATACCATATATAGTAACTACTTACTAACGGTGACCACCGTTATATAGTAACTAATAAGCTAAGAGGCTCTCTTCACCTCCTAGGATGTGACCGTTATTAGCAGCGCCGGTAACAGTCGGGTTCAAGCGCCCAAAACTGGTCAGACCTTTTGTGGTTAGCGTTTAGTTCGTGAGCTGGTACGTGGTCCCGGTTCGAATTCCGGGAGCCAAGAGACTGTAGTACTCACCCCTATGTGTTTCATTTGTAACCAGAGGTTGCTTCGGTTAAAAAGTTACGGACGGCAGGCGATTGCTCCTTTTTGAAAGACAGTAGACCCCCTTCTAACTAAAAGTGGCAGTCGCGTGCTACAATCGTCAGTTTGAATGCTAATTGCAGTTAGAGGTTTGGACCGGTATGTTACATTTGTATACGCCCTAATACTGCTGCTGCACACCTGGTAAAAGTCGGCAGGTGTCCTCACGTCCTTTTCACGTCTGTCCTTCACCGTCTTCAGCTTTTCCCTCCCCGGAGTTAAAGGTACGTCTACGGGACCCTCATGGGAAGATGTGTCGAGCTAGGAGAAATAGAAATAAAAATACGTTGTTCCTATCTGGACTTATTGGCTTTAAAGATTCCGCCAGGAAGTCCCCTGCAGTTTCAAAAGTTCCCGTGGGAGAACCTCATTAATCGCACATCTGTTTTCCCTGCCACCCCGCACATCTGTTTTCGCTGCTATTGTTTTCCCGGAAGTTCTGCTGCAGTACCAAGGCCAGCCACCAGGAAGCCCATATTTGACCTTGACCTTTGGCTTCCTAAGACCTACCAGCATACCAAATATCGTCACAATCCATAAAGGCGTTCTGAAGTTATGCTGACTACAAATGTGCGGAAACACACACACACACATGAATTGTTAATTTTTCGTTTCGTTTTCCGAGCCCCGGATTGGAAATATGGCCTAAGCAAAACATAAGCTTGAATACGGCACCACTGTATGTATTTGTTTACATGTGGTAATAACTTAAGAAGATAAACAAAAACCTTAGCGGTCCGTCTGATCGGCGGGAGCTTGGCTTGTACGGGCAGGTTCAGGGCTTGAGTGACGAGGAGGCGGGGGTCTAACTTCAGGTCACCGATCGCCTGGTACGGGCGGTGCGCTACACTGAAGAACCCCTGATGAAGCTGCCTCTGTCTCCGTCTGTTGTCGAAATATTTTACAGTCAGAAACAACGCGTTAACGAAAGCGAATCGCATACGCTATTCTACAAAATGTTTGTTTTCATTATCATAGTACATTGTAAAGTTTAAACTTTCATCAGGTTTCTCAGCAACACTAACCCGGTATCCAATCTATCGTGGTTGGGCGGGTTTACTTCGGGGCTGCAGGAGCTTTTCCCCGTCCGCCTGAGCTAGTTTCCCACGGTAGGTTTTTCACGGCGCGAGTTTGATTATGTGGTGGGGCGAAATCAACTCCCGGCGACACTAGTATTAGCAAAAGTCCTATCGGGCGGCCTGTTGTACTGGGCGGGGGGAAACTATTAGAGCCCCGAAGACAACCTGCCCCAACCACGATAGACTGGATACCAGGTTACAGCAACACATGCAGTTGAACGTTAACGTTTTTGCGAACCCTTTCATACAACGACCAAAAAAACTACAAACAGGGGGGGCGATATGGACTTCCGACGAACTTTGACCCATGGTGACGTCACACGTGAACAAAGACTGATACTGAAGCCCCGCCCACCTCCGTCAAAACACAACAATGGAAATATTTGCAGCCACTCTCTCATTGGTCGAACCGCTAATAGCCATTTTCTCATTGGTTGTACTTCTAATTGTGATGGCGAATTAACATTCGGGATCGGTCTATTGGGTCAGAAAGCTAAGAAAGAGCGAGTGATTCGACCAAGAGATTCGGTCGAAAATTTTGGTACTTATTGGACTTGGAGAACAGTTTGAAGTTTCCCATGATAGACACCAACCGGTAGTGACGTTCCCACATGTCTTCCGGTCTGGTGCTGACGTACATCCGGCTTGTGCGCTGCTCGACCTTACCCCGACTGGCCGGCTCGGGCGCCGCAGACTGGACGTTCTTACGGACGAAGTTGGTGATGTTTGTGGCCAGGACCGTGGCGGAGTCCACATGATGCGCTGTAAACAATAGATAACGTTGATGTTTTGATCTTTCTGAATTACAGGTGCATATTGAGGAAGGTATACATTACGTAGGTATCAAGAACTGAAATGGCCAACAGTTTATCTTCCATCCTCACCGTATTTCATTCAATTGCGTTACATTTACTTGAATTTACTTCAATCAAATGCCAGCTGAACGCTATTTACATTGCACCACACAGACGCTCCTAAATAACATTCAAATATTAACGGTATACAAGACATCGGAAAGAAATTACTAAAAAAAAATCAAAGAAGTATATGCTGAAGTGCTTCGGTTGTGCGTAGCAACCTTAGCATTAAAAAAAGGAGTGTATCCTCATGTGCATTAGAATCGCTCACTTAAACATTACACCTCGAATAAATTTTCACACAAATACAGCATGGAGAATTCAGAGCATAGAACACCCCTTGCTTCTACCAGGCTTCAAGAGACGGCTGGAAAGAGATAACATGCCGGAGGAGTTGGTCCGCTATCTAGTACATTTTGCTGCACTCTCTAGCTATAGCACACCGACTCCCATGGCATGTTATCTTTCGCTTTTGGGCCAATCTTTACTCTTTCTAGCCGCCTCCCGGCGCCTGGTAGAGGCTAAAACACTCCCACTGTGACCGTTTACTGCCTACTCTCACCCTCTTCCTCACACACACACACACACACACACACACACACACACACACACACACACACACATATGCATGATGTTATGCGGAGAAGACCTTACGGCCTAGTCTCTACCGGACTCCTTTACAGGCCGTGCAGGCAAATGGATCTTCTCTTGGTGGCCAAGTTGATATCCCCTTTTAGGCCGACTTCTACTATCTATTTAGCCTGCAAAGGAGTCTAGTGGAGACTACTTACTTACCACCATGATGGTGATGGTGATGATGGTGATGTTCCCGGATCCTATCCCCGGTGAGAGTGCTCCTCCTGCCGAGCGCCACGTAAGTGGAGCCCCCCATCGCCATGTCCCCTTCTTCCGCACACGTTCAGTTAATGTTGATGTTGTTGGAACGGTAACTACGCAGCGCAATTTTCTGCCGTTCTGGAACAACTACTGGTTCTTGGACACAATTGTTTCATACCCCGGAAATGGTGTTTGTTCCAGAATAATAACATTGAAAAACATAACAATCCGTTTCTAACGTAACATGTCGAATTGTTTGCCTGGGCATCCAAATGCATATACCATGGGGGCCAGACTAGTATCGGGGCGTTAGCCGTTTTCCTTCGGCAGCCAAGAGCCCTTCGCCCGCCTATCTAAGTTACTACTAGTAGTAGCTATAGGGCCGGCCAAACCTCCCCCCCCCCCCTCCCCGGCTCAACTCCCCCGTAGAGGTCCCCCTCCACCATTACACACGGAAGTTCCGCTTTCTCCGTTCCCAACAAACGCGGCAAGCTGAGAACGTCGGTTCCAATCTTGGCATCTTCAGCCACAGAAACTGTGAAGTTGGTACCTCCATTGGCCCGACAAAGTAGACTGTAAAGAACCAGTAGGAGCAAAACTGCGTAGTTAACTGCCATGGTGTAGCCGCTTTTGTGGATTATGAATATTAGGAAACTTGTGCTTCACGAAATAGCACTTCTCCGTCCTTTTTGTAACATTATCTGTATTCCATTCTTTTGTTGTGACCTGTGCTTAACCCAATGGGTATGCGTGTACAAAAACGTCTTCATTCATTTGTATACCCATGATATCGGGTGTCTTGGTCAAAGCTAAGCAGAACTTATACTCCAGAAACAGCTGTTGGGTTTCTTGCAACTCGTTTTATCTGGATCAAGGACCGCGTAGCACACGGAAGTTCCCCTTTTTCTGGGCCATTTGGAATATTCCTGCCCGTCACGGAAGGATACTCATCAATAACAAGTTCTTGTTGACGATGCGAATAGTTTACGATGACACGTTTTATGAAGAGGCACATTTTGTTAGCCCCTACCAGGCTTCGAAAAGAGGCTAAATAGAGAGATAACATGCCAGGAGTGTTGGTCCGCTAGAAAGTACATTTTGCCGCACCCAAATATGTTCAATACCACAAGGCTTAACTTGTGTGATGATGTGGAGGGCATTATCACAGTAAACATGGTTCAGCACAAGCTGACTTTGGTTAAACCCAATTTGTGCGCTTTCTTTCCTATTTGAATATTCTTTTATGGCACTTTTAAGAAGCGCATTGCAGGATACACTATAGCTTTTCTTAATCACAATAAACCAAAGTTAAAAGCCTTCCTACGTACGTATGTACTGTGCTTTACCAAACCATAGATCAATATATAGGCCATTATATGGAATTCCTGTCTTATCTAAAATAACTTTCTGACAGCATAAGTAAACATTTCTAATGCGTCTTTTTAATGGTTTTTTATATGGCTTTATATCATATGTATGATTGTAAATTTTCTTACACGTACTATTTTTGTAAAACAATTGTTCTTTTTTTACACCAGAAAGAGAAATATCCATTTATATATGTATAGTACTTATGTATATCAGCACCATACTTGTGATGATACATGCTGGCATCATTGAATCAGCTCACAGTCAGAACATGGTCAGAAAAGGTCATTACTTGACTAATACAGGTTGGGCAAAAGTAGCTAAAGAACAATTTTTATAATTCAGACAGTCGTTTCCCTTACTGTAATCATCGCATCCCGCAGTTGTACGAGTTTCCTCTCAACCACATCCGGACCCGGTCTTGTTGGTGGATTTTCCCGCCAACACGACGTCATGATGTCATACATCCCTCCGGAACATTCCGGAGGCCTTCTCAGCCGGATTCCCCTCCGGAGGGTCCGTGCAAGCTGTTGGCAGGTGGGTTGGTCGTTGCCATGGTAACGCGGTTCTTGTCCCATGGTGACGATCTCCCACAGCAGCACGCCGAAGGACCACACGTCACTCTGACAGGTGTACTCACCTGTCTCTAATGACTCCAGAGCCGTCCAGTTCAGGGGGAATACTTCATTCTTTACGTTGTCTTTAGGTTTAGCCTGCTGTCCATCAATAGGCACGTATTGGACAGCGGTATAGACGTCGCGGGCCTGTCCAAAGTCGGCCAACTTGGCCACGTGGTCAGCAGTGATGAGGACGTTCCGAGCGGCCACGTCCCGGTGTGTGAGCGCCAGGCGTTGGAGCTCCTGAAGAGCGCGGGCAATGTGCACGGCATAGCGGAGATGACGTGGGAGAGACTGCGGTCCGACTTGCTTTCGAGCCTGGCGCAGCAAACGTAACAGGTTGCCGTTGGAGGCGTATTCCATGAGAATATACTTGTCGGTCGGCTCGTTTATGAATCCAAACAATTGAATGATGTTGGAGCGGAGGTTGTCGTGATGTTGGTCTTCATGCACGGCTACCAAAATGGCCGCCTCCCTGTAGAAGTTGCGATAACATTGAATGTCTCGTCTGCGAACTTCCTTGGCAGCCACGGTGATGTTCCCGGCAGGTGTCTTGAGCTTCGCCTCAGTGACTTTACCAAACATCCCCATATCTTTCAAGTCACCAAGTATCAGGTTCTTCTTGGTCTTCCTCCATCGGCTGAGCCAGCCCGGCCGGACGGTCTGTGCCAGGTCTGCCTCCACCTGCTCCAGCTCCAGAAAAGCTTCCGTCTCGTCGTCTTGGCCGGCCTGAACGCCGCACAAGTGCCTCTTCCTGTACAGTATGGTCCCTACACAAGCAGCCAGAGCGACAACGGAGCCTATTGGGACGAAGATTTCGAGCAGTTGCTCCGATCGCATTGCCTGCTGTTCGACTTGGTCACAATTCTTCCCTGTCCACGGCGCTACGCAGGTGCAGGTGCCGTCCACGTTGTGACAGGTGGCGTTGTTCTTACAGGTGCACACCTGCTGACACCTTAGGCCGTGCCTGGACTTAGGACAAGGTACGTCACACTGCCAGCCGTACCAGCCGGCCGCGCAGGTACACCTGCCGTCGCTAGGGCTGCAGCTCGCACCGTTTCGGCAGCGACACTCCTCTCGGCACCGCTCGCCGTACGTGCCGTTCGGACATGTGGTCTGGCACCTGGTTCCTGTCCAGCCCGGAGGACAGACGCAGCCAGATCTCCAGTCACAGGTGGCGCCATGGAGACAGTCACACGTCTCATCACAGAACTCGCCTTTTCGATTCGGTGGGCACTTAGCAATGTCAAGTACAACGGTTGCGTTGAAGACATTTCCATAGGTGTCCCATACCTGACACTTGTAGGGACCATTGTCTTTAAGCTGTATGTTTAAAAGAGTTTGGTCTAAACGAGTAGCGTTCTTCCTAAAGATCTTAGACCCGTTTGGAAGTCGTAATGATAACGCTGCGGCGTTGACGTGGTGAACTTTACAGTGAACCGTGACGTTAGCGGAAATGTAGATATCAGAAGGGTCGCTAGGTGTCGTCGCTGCGGAAACGCCGGGCTTTGGAATGTCACAAGCGACACCTTGCCAGGCGTCTGTACATTTACAGGCACCGTTGAAGCCATGGCAGCGGGCACCGTTCTTACAGATGCAGTTCTGATCACATAGAAAGCCGTATCTATCGGGAGGACAGCCGATAGGGCTCAAAGCTATAGTCAATGTTTCAACGTGTCGTACATTTATTAGAGTAACAGAATGATCTTTATCTTTGAAAAAACTGAGTGGACGATGCTGTATCGGAAGTTTGCATCTATAGTGCGTTTTGCTATTTGACGGAATATTAAACGAAATAAAGTAGACGAAACCACGGGGGTGCTGAAGTTTCTCCAGGACTTGAGGGATCGGGACCTGTAGCTGTTCCAAGTAAGGCGAGCCTTTGTTGACGTTGTGTTCGTCGAGTTCATAAAGAACGATTAACAGCTCTGACTGCATGGCAGTTTCCGCATGACATGACAACGTAACTGTCCCCATCCTCCCCCCTGTAAAACCCGTACCATATTTCTGATGCAGCCCAGAGGTCGTTCAAATTACGTATGCCAAAAGCAATGCGAACTTCGCAGTTGTCATTTCCTGTGATGATTACCTTAAGATTGTCCATGTCCCATTTCTCAAAAGGCTTACTAATACTTTTCTGAAAGAAAAGAACATCTCCGGCAGTTGTCTCAATTTCTGCACTTGGAGAAAGGCTAAACAGGAACTCCCCAGTCTGGTTTCCCCTGGGATTGACCGGTGTTTCACACGTCTCGTTGTACACAGGAGGATAGCCCAAAACGTTTCTCACATTTACTCTGATCCTGACTATATAGATATCAGGGTCTTGCCTTCCACCAACATGTAATTTTAAAGAATACTCCGACTGTACAGACCAGTCCAGTGGCCTGGCGACTGTAACTGTGCAGTTGTTACTCACATAGAACCGGCCGTAGGGATCCCCCTCCACCATTACACACGGAAGTTCCGCTTTCTCCGTTCCCAACAAACGCGGCAAGCTGAGAACGTCTGTTCCAATCTTGGCATCTTCAGCCACAGAAACTGTGAAGTCGGTACCTTCATGATCGGCCCGACAAAGTTGACTGTAAAGAATCAGCAGGAGCAAAACTGCGTAGTTAACTGCCATGGTGTAGCCGCTTTTGTGGATAATGGATATTAGGAAACTTGTGCTCCAACGAAATAGCACTTCTCCATCCTTCTCTGTATACCGAAGAGATAGGGTGTCATGGTGAAAGCGGAACATATAACTTCAGGAACAGGTGTTATGTTTCTTGAGACATATTTTTTCTTAAAAAAACTCGCGTAGTACACGTTAGTTCCCCAGATCAGGTAGAAGGCGTATCCCAGAATTCCCTGTGACGTTCGACCCTTACCCCCCCACCCCCACCCCCACTACGCACACCTGGTCCGGGTTTCGTGGAACGAGCAAGGATGCCTTTCAAGTTTTGCCCAATTTGAGGGTTTTGTGCTCAGTGGCTGTGCAGTTTTAGAGAAGATTTGTTATAGCGTATTCGACAAAGAGGTACTAAATATTCCGTTTTGTCTACCTTTGGAGACAACAGTTATTCTATGCGCTAAAGTTGGGAATTTTGTATTTCTATTGGATCGTCGTTACGGAAACATTGAA